GCAATGCTAAGGCTTACTTGAGGCCCAAATCTGGCAAACAGAACTGGACTGCCCAAATGCCATTATTCCACGCAGTATGTGGGCCGGAACAAGGTGTTGAATCTGGGCCGGATCGGGGCCTGAATTAAAATAAATGTGGCCCAGATTTGGGCCAGTTCTGGTTTTATTTTATTTATTTATTTTCATGGCTGACATGTGGCCTACCTATGGCTTGCTCGTGGCCCAAATTTGCCATCATTCTTCACGGTATGTGGGCCGGATTAAGGTGTTGGATCTGGGCCAGAATTCAAATCAGTGTGGCCCAGATTTAGGCCAGTTCTGCTTTATTTGGTTTATTCATGGCTGACACTGGGCCTTCTTTTGGCTTGCTTGTGGCCCAAATCTGGCAAACGGGAGCGGACCGCCCAATTGCCATCATTCCACGCGGTATGTGGGCCAGATCTGGGCCTCAGGAATTTTGCTATCTGGATCTATAATTAACCAATTGTCCTGGGCCAAACTGTGCTTGTTTTTGATAAAGCATTTAATAATTGCCAGCTTGAATGTTTTTGGGAAGTGTCTTAAAAAAGAAAAGAGTTAACAATATTGAGAAGAGTTTCTAAAATTATATGCATCGTCTCCTTCAATAGATTAGTGGATATACTCTCTAGCTTCCATGTTGGTAAATGTTTTGACGTCTGTTTTTTTGTGCTATTTAACTGGGCTAACTTACATTTGCCTTTTTTCACCATAGACCTCATGCCACTGAAAGAGGAGCGCATAGTACCGAATGAAACGGAAGAGAAAGAACAATATGAGACTCATCATGATTTTAAAACCGGAGCAGAATCTTTCAGTTGGCCACAGATTAAAGAGACTTTCTCACAGAAAACAGCCCATAAAACAGGAACTAAAAGTAATTTCACCCCTTTTCACTGTGAAAAGAGTTTTGATGAACATGGAAACCTTAAAGTCCACATGAGAGTTCATCCTGGAGGGAAGACTTTTACCTGCCAACAGTGTGGAAACAGTTTTACTCAAAAAGTAAACCTTAACAGGCACATGAGAATTCACACTGGAGACAAGCCTTACACCTGCCCTCAGTGCGGAAAGAGTTTCGATCAACATGGAAACCTTAAAGTCCACATGAGAATTCACACTGGAGGGAAGCCTTTCACCTGCCAACAGTGTGGAAAAAGTTTCAATAGAAAGGGAGACCTTAATGACCACATGAGAGTTCACACTGGAAAGAAGCCTTTCACCTGCCAACAGTGTGGAAAGAGTTTCACTCAAAAAGTAAACCTTAACAGGCACATGAGAATTCACACTGGAGACAAGTCTCACATTTGCCCTGAGTGTGGAAAGAGTTTTGATCAACTTGGAAACCTTAAAGTGCACATGAGAGTTCACACTGGAGAGAAGCCGTACACCTGCAAACAGTGTGGAGTCAGTTTCACTCATGAAGGAAACCTTTACAGGCACATGAGAATTCACACTGGAGGGAAGTCTTTCACCTGCCAACAATGTGGAAAAATATTCAATAGAAGAGGAAACCTTAATGACCACATGAGAGTTCATACTGGGGAGAGCCCTTTCACCTGCCAACAGTGTGGAAAGAGTTTCACTCAAAAAGTAAACCTTAACAGGCACATGAGGATTCACACTGGAGACAAGCCTTACACCTGCCCTGAGTGTGGAAAGAGTTTTTATCAACATGGATACCTTAAAGTGCACATGAGAGTTCACACTGGAGAGAATCGTTTTAACTGCCAACAGTGTGGAATAAGCTTCATTAAAAAAGGGTTCCTTAACAGGCACATGAGAATTCACACTGAAGAAAAACCTTATACATGCCCTCAGTGTGGAGAGAGTTTCGATCTACATGAAAGCCTTAAAGTCCACATGAGAGTTCACATTGGAGAGAGTCCCTTCATCTGCCAACAGTGTGGAAAAAGTTTTACTCAAAAAGGAAACCTTAACAGGCACATGAGAAAGTTACACGGCATATTTTCAACACAAACTTGATCAACACACGAGGATTCGTTTGAGAGAACTGTTCAATGTCATCAGTGTGGAAGGAGTTTCTCAAACAGGAATCATGTAATAATGTTATGATGTGTAGGAAGCTCAGAAGTGAAAGACCATGAGACTCTGGTGTATATTCAGCAGGATTCTATATTGAGAAGGTGCTGTGTGGCACCGTTAGAGTTGGGGTACTCGATCTTGGACTCGATTATTAACAACGGATTAAACATGGACTCAGACATTTTACAGAGTATGGTCGAGTCCACATCATGTGTAACATTAAAGGGATAGTTGACCCAAAAATTACTCACCCTCATGTTATTCCAAACCCCTAAGACCTATGTTCATCTCCAGAACACAAATTAAGATATTTTTGATGAAATCCGAGAGCTTTCTGATCCTCCATAGACAGCAATGCAACTGAAATGTTCCCAGGCCCAGAAACGAAGTGAGGACGTTGGTAAAACTGTCCATGTGACATCAGTGGTTCAACCGTGATTTTACGAAGCTACGAGAATACTTTTAGTGTGCCAAGAAAACAAAAATATCGACTTTATTCAACAATTCTTCTCCAAATCACATCCGCCATTATGGAGAGAACCATGACGCATGCATGTGCTTTCCTCTGCACCTGATGTCCTTACTTCGTTTCTGGGCCTGGGAACATTTCAGTTGCATTGCTGTCTATGGAGGGTCAGAAAGCTCTGAACAACACATAACTCACCTCAGTACTGCACAACTGTAAATAACTAATCAAACCTCTCAAACAGGAATCATGTAATAATGTTATGATGTGTAGGAAGCTCAGAAGTGAAGACCATGAGACTCTGGTGTATATTCAGCAGGATTCTATATTGAGAAGGTGCTGTGTGGCACCGTTAGAGTTGGGGTACTCGATCTTGGACTCGATTATTAACAACGGATTAAACATGGACTCAGACATTTTGGACTCAGGAATTTTACAGAGTATGATCGAGTCCACATCATGTGTAACATTAAAGGGATAGTTGACCCAAAAATTACTCACCCTCATGTTATTCCAAACCCCTAAGACCTATGTTCATCTCCAGAACACAAATTAAGATATTTTTGATGAAATCCGAGAGCTTTCTGATCCTCCATAGACAGCAATGCAACTGAAATGTTCCCAGGCCCAGAAACGAAGTGAGGACGTTGGTAAAACTGTCCATGTGACATCAGTGGTTCAACCGTGATTTTACGAAGCTACGAGAATACTTTTAGTGTGCCAAGAAAACAAAAATATCGACTTTATTCAACAATTCTTCTCCAAATCACATCCGCCATTATGGAGAGAACCACGACGCATGCATGTGCTTTCCTCTGCACCTGATGTCCTTACTTCGTTTCTGGGCCTGGGAACATTTCAGTTGCATTGCTGTCTATGGAGGGTCAGAAAGCTCTGAACAACACATAACTCACCTCAGTACTGCACAACTGTAAATAACTAATCAAACCTTCATCTGTAAATAGCACATATGCACATTCACAGTTCTGTCTATGGACATTTTCCTTTTTATGTATATTTTCATTACTATTGTTGTTTATAATTTATTGTCTATTCTCTCTAATATTAGTGTTTTATTACCTTAATTTTATGTATGTCTGGACTATGTTTGTACTTCCTGTTCTGTAAGCTCCTAACACCAAGACAAATTCCGTGTGTGTGTGTGTGTGTGTGTGTAAACACACTTGGCAAAAACGCTCTTTCTGATTCTGAAATTATATCTATTTTTCCAAAAAGCAGTTTATTCCATTTATTATGTCTCAACACCAGCGTATTGAAAGAAACTACATATGATCAACATTATTAAAAATGATCACTGATTTCTGTAGTAACGGCACCAAATTACTGAATGTAATATCAGACTAACTGAAAAAGTTTTACACATGAAGACATAAATTGTGTTTTTGTGAAGAATCATCTGACTGGTGTACATCACATGAATGAAAACTGTACTGTGTATAGTCTTCTATAGAAAGTGTTTTAGGTATACATTACAAATGACCAGAGATGGGTATAACGTGTTACACAGTAACTTACTGTATTCTGCCTTAACTGTATTCTAATTACTTTTCCTGGTAACGCAGTGAAGTAATGCGTTACATTTTAAATTTATGTAATTTGATTACAGTTTCTAATGTCAATAAAATTACATTACTTAAGTTGCAAATGCAGTGTTAAAAAATATGAAGCAAAAATCATGTTTTGTGTGTCAGTATGCCCTTTAATCTAATAAAAATAAATGTAATAAATACAGACGAGTCCTACAACATTTAGGTGCAATGAAAGGTTGCCTATCATATTTCAAAATGTTGCACTCGACATATTTTAGTCTGACATTATAGATTGGGAAAAGTTCAGAAAGTGAATGTGTATGTCACAGTAACACTAATATTTACATTTACATTTAGTCATTTGGCAGACGCTTTTATCCAAAGCGACTTACAGAGTAGAAGCAAACAGACCAACGAGAGAGCAACAATATACAAGTGCTGTGACAAGTCTCAGTTAGTCTAGCACAGTGCACATAGCAAGGATTTTTTAAAATAAATAAATTAGACCAAAATGATTAGAATAGGTAAGTGCTAGTATTAGTTGGTCAGGTGATGGCAAAAAATGTCTTTAGATGTTTTTTTGAAAATGGCTAAAGACTCAGCTGCTCGGATTGAGATAGGCAGGTCGTTCCACCAGCTGGGGACAGTCCATGAAAAGGTCCGTGAGAGTGATTTTGTGCCTCTTTGGGATGGCACCATGAGGCATCGTTCACTTGCAGAACGCAAGCTTCTGGAGGGCGCGTAGGTCTGAACTAGCGAGTTAAGGTATATTGGTGTAGCGCCAGTGGTTGTCTTGTAGGCAAGCATCAGTACCTTGTAGGGGTGGAACGATACATGTATTCATACCGAACCGTCACGGTACAGGCATCTCGGTTTGGTGCATGAGGCCTTACAATGAATACAGGCAATTCACCCCCAATCCAGAAGGGGGCGCCCGCAGCAATGCAACGCTGTTTGATAACTGGCCGCCAGCAGAAGAACAGCGAATGCCATGAGTTGCTCACTTGAAAACAAAGCCCACTAGACAGTGACCATGTGCTGATTCTGAATGCGTCTCTCACAGAC